CCCTGATTTCCGACCCCAGGAGGGGCGTTTACCACTCGGACCTAACGAGTCCGCACGAGCTCGGGTGTGGAACGCACTGATGTCTATCCGTCGTAAGCTGGACAGACTCACTGCCTCCAGTGTACGTTAAGTTATTTAATTTAGTTACTCGTTATTTAAATTAATCTAAATATTTTTATAAATGCTTTTATGCCATTGTGAACAGGTGCAATGGACGCCATACAGCAGCTCATGGCCAGATGAGATAGAGCAGAGGACTCTTTATTGTGGACTGATTCGGTATCGCGATATTGTCGAGCCGTACTATCCTGTACGGTTGCTGGGGCAGTTGGGGTATGTCTTGACCATCCCTCCCCCTATACAGACGCCGACTGCTGTAAACCGTGCTTGGCAGGTAGTATAGATGATTATTTACAATTTTATACACGATTAATTAGAATTTTATAATCATGAATGATTAACTAACAATTATTACCGTGCTTGGCAGTCGAGGCTGTACAAAGTTGAGCATCTTGATGTCGGCGCAGTAAATATGTGGAACCAGTTCTTGATGTCACAGACTGTCAACACCAGCTTGTGTAGGGTCGCCACAGATGATCGAGGGGAGGCCGATCCGGAGTACTTGTTGTGGTACCGTCGGGTTTCTCATCCTACTGTCTTGGGTGAGGGTCTGCCTGACGAGAGAGAGGTCCCTACGCGTGGGAACACCGACTATGTAAGACGTTCGCAAGCTTTCAATTAATAATGTTTGATTAGAATAAATTTTATTTTAATAAATAATGAGCATATATTTTAATTCTTATTTTTTTGTTTTGTAGTGGATGGACCGTGCTTTGACTCTTACCTCGAGGATTCTGCGGGGTTTAACAGCTCATGATCCTGTACAGGCGGTGCAGCTATCAGACGAATTGGCTAAGCTTAAGTTGGATTACGCCAATTCCAAATAAATGTGTAATGATGTTATGATGGAACTTTTTTTTTTGTCAAACATTATGCGGATCAGACATGTTTTTTGAATATGTAATGATGTTATGAATGTTTTGCCGTGTCAACCCACTCTATGCCCGACATGTTTTTTTTTTTTATATAAA